CTAGCCATCCACTTTAAACTTCCTGCATTTTAAGATTGTAAAGGCTCTGTGGTTACAAAAACTTATCATCTGCTATAGGCATGATGCAAAACTTCAGACTCCTGGGATTAGAGGCTGAATTCAAGACAAATTGGTTGGAGAATATGGAACAAGCTTTTCAAACTAATAATAAATTATAAGTTATCACAGCTTTCAAAAATGTTACCAAGAAATTTACACCAAGTACCTTAAGCTACATATGCAAGACACTTACCATGTATAAAGAGGACAATGTACTTCCTGGGTGTTGTAATTACTTCTAAACAATGGAAGATTAATTTGAGTTTTGCCAGGGCAAAATCCTTATCTTGCTCTTATAACGAACCATTGAAATCACGCACAATATTCCTTTGCTGAAATATTTAGATTTCTTATAAAAGCTGGTAGATAGAGCATCTTTCTTGCAAAAATTATTTTCTGGGCTTAGGGGAGGAAAAAGTGGGTATCGTGAATTCTTGCTCCTGACTTTTCTTTTCCTCCCAACCTCAAAGCAAGATGGGATTAAGGTGCTTCAAAATTTACTGCCTCACATTAAAAAGGTCCCAAGGGGCATTTATTTTTGTTTGATGAACTTATTTGCTCATCTTGACTTTCCATTCTTGAGAACAACAGGCTGAAACACCATCTGTAAGACTGGGACCGACTTCAGCTATTCATTTCTACCTAATGGGAATATGGGAAAGCTTTTACAACAACTACCATTTTGATGAATTCCAGTGTTAATTATAGTGGGAGGAAAGGCAAAATAAAAGTGAAGAAAAGCTCAACCCTCCCAATGCAACTATTTTATGCAGTCAAATGCAGCTTGAGTTCAGACCTTTCTTACAAAAGCAGCATTGTTAAAGAACGGAGAACTGAGAGCAGATTTTGTTCATAAAATCTTGGAGACAGTGGAACTGTCACCCTCCACATACCCAAATGCCAACAGGTAAAAAAAAAAATTAAGAACTGGCTATTTCCCATGTTGGAAAACATGGAAAGAAAAAAAAGCACTCAAAAAATAGAAATTTAACAATAACTTTCTTCATCCTTCCAGGAGCCTGTAGTTCAGCTTTGGTGGATTCCAACAGCTTTATGGAACCAGATTGGGGTCATGGGCACACATTTTTGTACACAGTTGTGCTTCTGTTCAAGCTTGGGACCTTTTTCCGGAGGCCCTAGTTAATCAGAATGGAAATGCCAGGAGTCCTTTCCAATGCAGCTTCCACAGCTACAGGATACTGGTGACCCAATTCCTAGTTTGGAGATGGGAAACAAAGATGGGTGGGAGAGGGAAAAAAACCCATAAATTTAGCCATTGTTAAGGACAAAAATGTAGCATTTCTTTCCTTTTGCATATCCAAGATTGAATTATAATGCTAGGTGTACTCTGTGCTTATAGTAATGGGCAAATATGGTCTGGTTTTGAGGACAGAATTCCAAAATACTTAACTTTGCTTTAAAATCCAAAATGTACATTTTTTAGCCCTTATGATTATAAGCCTATCAATAAGCCTATTACCCAGGGAAGCTTACATCATATTTATTCAACAAAAACTTTTGGTAAACAAAGGGCAAAGTTTCTGTTATGGAAAATGAGCAAACAGAGGTAGTCCTTGACTTATAACCATCTGTTTAGCAACCACTGAAATTTACAACAGCTATCAAAAAATTGACTTATAACCAGTCCATACAACCATTGTAGGATCCTCATGGTCACATGATCAAAATTTGGGTACTTGGCAACTGGTATGTATTTACAATGGTTGCAGCATCCCACAATTTGTGACCTTCCTAGCCGGCTTCCTACAAGCAAAGTCAATGGGAAGCCAGAACTGCTCAATTACAGCATGATTCACTTAACAAATGCAGTGATTCACGTAACAACTCTGGCAAAAAGGCTGTGAAATCAGGTGTGACTAATTTAAAGACTGGCTTGCTTAGCAATGGAAATTCTGGTCTCAATTGTGCTTGTAAGTCAAGGACTACCTGTATATACAATTCTGCTGCATAGCTGAAACCATTTTTTTTAATGTAGCATGTATACAACACTTCCAATACAGGATATGGAAGAAGAGAAACTAAAGCTACTTAAGATTCCTCAAAAGAGAGAGAGAGAGACCAGGACTCTAATTTTCTAATTTACAATATTATATTACCATCAGTGACATCAGCATGATAGGCAGGGGCTCTCACTATGTAGAGGAATCTAGTTCTTGTTTCTGTTTGGAAAACAGATGGGCCTCCTTCAGTGAGAGATACACTTCCTCTTGTGGGTCATAGTAGTAGAACTTGCAAATGTATGTGATCAGAGGCCTGATTAGAGAAGAGAAATGAGACTCCAGTAAATTTTGGAGGTCCAAAAAAGCAGAAGGGACATTCCAAGTAAACAGACTGATGAATCCCTCTCTTTCAAATAGGGGGTCCACAAAAATCAAGTTTGCAATGCCCCTAATGTCTACAGATCCCCAACTAACAAAAGTTTGTGCTGGGATGTTTGTGTGTATAAAATGGCCAAGATCTCCAAATTTCTACAATCGGATGTGAGAGCTTGCAAGATTATGGCTAATGAGTTTTTTAAATTATTTTTTTTAAGATACCTTCATTTTTGGTGCCTGCAACACACACAGATGCAGACCTCATTGGTCCCTGGTTCCCTTTCCTATAGAAATTCATCATCCCTCTTTGTCTTGCTTAAATGGTTGTCACAACCTTTCTGAAGGTGCTTTGACCATGGTGTGAAATTTCTAACAATGTTTCACACTGAAACAACATCTGAACAGTAAGGTCTGTGGGAAGTTATCATCCAGCCCTCTCCCAGAAAAATGAAATATCCTAGGAAATATTGAAAAGGCAGAATATTTCTCTGGATATGAAAAGAA